CCGATCAGCCAATGGTCGTCAAGCAATGTGGTGGATTGGATGGCCACGTTGAACCTTGCGCCTTACACGGAGCTGTTTAAGGCCAAGGATATCAAAGGGACAGACTTGCTCACATTAGACAGAGACAAACTTGGGGTAAGTTAAATTGAGATTTTCTTTGCTGTATTATTGTTTGTTTCTTGGAGTTAGCATATGAAGTCGGGGAATGCCCAGTGTGGAGTTGGGCCCCGGTGTGTCGCTGAGCCTCGAGCGTTGGGAAACCACCGAAGTAGTCGAGTGGCGGCGGCGGTCGTTCCAGCGTCGTTGGTGTAGTTTGGTGTAAGAAGGGGCGGGGCGGGGAGGGTGGGAGGAGTGGGCCCTCCGGAGAACGGCCGAAGCCCGTTCAGTGTGTGAAGGGCAGAGCAAGGGCTTGGTGGCGGTGCGCGCCTTCTGTCGTTGGAAGTTTCGCCGAGGAATTCGCTGCAGGATTTGATAACTTCCATCTCTCGTTGACTTCACACGCGCCGACGTCTGTGATAGATTTGTTTCTAGTCTTGTTCATTTGTTTACTTTTGGTAGCAAGCTTTTTGTTGTTTGTTTGCTTTTAGTTTCTCCTTTGAGCATCTGTATACAAGGTATAGATCTATATACTTGTATAATATTTTTTTGGTTGTGCACTATGAGTGCATTTGAGTTTTGAATATTTGATTTAACATTTTACTAGTTTTTATTTTGTTTCTAGAGTTTGACTTGTAGTTTGTTGAATAGCAAGAATGGCGCCCTTGCTGATTTCCCCCTTCAAGTCCCCAATATCAGTGTTTTCGAGGTTGAAAGATTGGTCCGCACGTAAGCGCATGCGTGAAGATACCGCCGTGGCTACTACACCTATGCTCGAAGCATGTCGCCAGTGTTCCATCAGCAATGCAGCGGCACCAGAGAGGCACAGTGCCACATCCTTTTGCACGCCGCGGCCTGGTCACAGCCTGTCCATAGCCACGCCAGATAGTGGCATTCAGAGTCAGCCCACGTCTGCTGTAACCGATCGGTTAGCAGAAGCATGCAGTAAGGTCAGCAGTACCCCCATACCAATATGTAAAAGCAACTCGAGTTGCCAGTATCGGCGGATGAAAATACGGAGCTCGATAACAACACAGAAGAAGAGCATTGAAGTCGAGATTGACACCGAATACACTGGTGGGCAGTTCACGGAACAACTGGCGCCCCAGGCTCTGGCAGACAATCCAAGGCGTGTGTCCACAGCCTCCAGCATTTCAGCCGCAGCGCCTTCGGAAGCTACAACCACCACCACAATCACAAGCGAGGCCTCTTCGAGTACACGGTCAGATGGGGACTCGTGGTGTCTGAAACTGTCGGACTTGGATACGGCCGATTGCCTTTCGCCCGCCAGGAGTTCGGGTTGGGTTAGGTCGTCTCCCGATTATGTAAGGGCTAGAGGCCTCGGTGTTGATTCAAAGGCTGATAATTATTTTGAGTGTTGTGAGATAGATCAGGGTTTAGTTGTAGAGCGGTCTGAACGCCAAGCGGAGGAGCTTCCAATGCCGACGAAATGGGTATATTCGTCTGGAAGACCGAAGCCTCAGGTAAAGGCATCTAGACTAGTTTGTAGAAGGTTATTGGGGTAGCTAGGAACACGTGAACACGTCTTATTATTGCTAATTGATACCATTACAACTTCATATCGTACTTCACAAAAGAGAGACTTACTGATTTATTCTATTTTTTTGCAGACTATGGGTATCAAGGATGAATTTCACCAGAAAGCAATTCTGGTGTGCATCGACCAGCTTCAGAATGAATGTTCTGACGGTCTGTGCATCGGGGATAGCGGCACTCCGTCAGCTGTCGGAGGAGGCGACTGCAACACCCCGGCCTCACATCATAACCTGCGGAACCACTCCTTCCATGACCTCCATCGGTGTGACAAGTGCGGACGCTTTCTGAGAGGCTTCATCCATCAGGGACAGTTTTGCCAGGGTAAGATTTCCTTGGCCTTTGGTTGTTGTTGTTATTTGTTTATTAAATTCTTTCTTTTTTGTATATAGAATCCTTTTTTGTCAGTTAGGTGACAAGGCAAGTCGCGAGATTTGCCACATTCAGATATTTTTGCAATTAATTCAGGTTGAAGGCTATCGATTATTCGAAGGCTATCGATTATTCATGTATTATTTCTCCCTTTCAGACTGTGGTTTAATCGCCCACCGCACGTGTGCTGCCACGGGGCTACCTCCTTGTGTAAGACAATCCTCCAAGTACTTCCGGCGTATCTTGCTCTCCTCCGTGTTTGGGTTGAGTCTCTGCACCCAGTTTAATCCTAAGGACAGTCCTGCCCCACTCTTGCTCGTACGGTGTTGCCAAGATATCGTTTTCCGTGCAAAGAGTGATCCTCACCAGGACTCCTATCGCCTGTACCGCACACCGCCCCAGCAGGAAACTCTTGCTCGACTTCGTCAGGAATGTGATGAAGGTAGGTGCTCGTTTTCAGTTGAGATTGATAATCAGTTTTGATGAATTGATATTGAGTTGTCGGTGCTCTAATTGGTTGAGATCAATATTCTAATATTTAAAAATAATTTTCCTACAGATATGTGCAATGTTGACCTAAGTGCATATGAACCCCACGTAATTGCGTACCTGATAAAGCGGTATCTCCGTGAACTCCCTGACCCAGTGATTCCAGAATCGTTTTATGATCGCTTTATTGAAGCAGCACGAATTCAAAATGATGACCAGTGTGCAAAATGCATGACACAGTTGATCAAGGAACTCAACCCTCACCATTCTTACACCCTACAGTAAGTCTCAAGAATTTGTATTTTGAAGTAAACTTGTTGGTATGAGTAATGTATTAAAGTTTTCATCCTACATTTTTTTTTCTTTTGTTTTATATGTGGTTTAATGATTGTTCTCTATTTCCAGGTTTTTGATGAACCACTTCCTCCAGTTGTGTCAGCTCCAGGTTGCACGTGGTATTTTGGACCCTCCAACTCTTCTTATTCAGTCTCTATGCCATGTACTTCTCAGGCCACCATGGGAAAAGATTGTGTAAGTATGAACATTTGATAATAACTGGGGAACATGGTTTTATTATTTTTTCTACTCAAAAGTCTATTTTGCATAATAGATAAGTGTATATATTTTATAATAGAGTGGAGTCCAAGGCTAATAGAACCTTTTATTTCCAGGGAATTGGCCCGTAACACAGAGGCACACATGCGAATTGTTGACATACTTTTGTTGAAAGTGGATTGGGGAGAAAGAGTACCAGTGTTCGCAGATCCTCCAGCTTTGCCTCCTCGTCCAAGGATTTCTCACAGTATGGGAGAAGAGGGTGGAAGTCCTCCATCTCCACCCACTGGCAGTAGCTTAGGTATGCTTCCTTTTGGCACTGGACACTCAAACATCCCATCTACTGCACCAAAATCTCTACAGGATGCGGAATGGTATTGGGGTACCATAACAAGGGAAAATGTGAATGTACTCATGAAGGACACCAAGGATGGCACATTCTTGGTTCGAGATGCATCCACTGGAAACAATGAATACACACTTACTCTTAGGAAAGGAGGCTGCAACAAGCTAATCAAAATATGCCATCGCAATGGAACCTTTGGTTTCACGGAACCCTACAGTTTCAATTCAGTTGTGGAATTGATTGAGAATTTCCGCCAGCAAGACCTTAGTCAGTTCAATAAGGCACTTGACATCAAGCTGCTCCACCCAGTAAGTCGCTTCCACTGTGAAGAAGCCGAGGGAGCAAGAATGAGAGTGGAAGACATTCTTGGACGACTTTCAGACCTCAACAAGCAGTACCTCTCAAAGACCTCTCAATACAATAGTGCATATGAGAAGCAGGTGGCTTTAGCACAAAATATGCAGATGAGTCGCCAAGCCCTTGATAGCTATGATGAAACCATTTTGTGGATTGAAGACCACTTAAAACTCCATGAAAAGTTCAGAATGGAAGCACAGCCCCATGAGATTAATGAGTAAGTAAATTCATCTTTATAGTTTCTCAAGTATATAGAAATATGTAAAAATAACAATTCTGTGAGTTAACATAACTCTTATTTCCCATGATCTAATATTTTTCCTCAATTTTGCAGTTTGTTGAATAACAGAGGGGTACTGATTGACCGCCTAGAACAGGTCAAAGATGCTCGGAATCAGCATGACATTAGCCTCGCTGCAATAAAGAGAGATTGCCAAGCAGTTGAACGTCAGTGCACTGGTCTGAAGTTAGATGTTATGAAACTTGGGAAGCAGATGGACAAGCTGAAAAATCTGCTGCTTTCTCGAGGTCTTTCAGCAGACATGATGGATCAGTGGCTGGAACAGGCAGATCCTTCTCAGCCCCATCAACCAGTAAGTATATAGCTTATATGGAAAGTGATGAGGTTAAAGTGATAAAGAGGATGAGTTATGTATATGCTGCAAAATATGTTTTAAGACTGTAAATTTATTTCCTGATTTATAATCTTGTTTTCTTCCACAGTCTCCAGAGTTGAGTAATGAATCCCTGTGGCGATTTGATGCTTGCTCTCGTGAAGAAGCTGTAAATCTCCTGCAAGGCAAGAGTGATGGTACCTTCCTTATCAGAACAGCCCAGAATGGAGGCTATGCTCTCTCAATAGCGTAAGTATTTTCTTCAAGCAGTATTTTTCTTGGTTTGGTGAAAAAAAGGAAATGAGGTTCAGTAAAATTTTAGTAACACAATATTTGCAGAATTGTTTAACTGGTTTACACAAAATCATTTTTATTTTTATTGTAATTGAATATCAACATTTTAGTTAATCTGGAATATTTTTCTTTTTCAGATGCAGCAAGGAAGTGCAGCACTGCAGGATTCATCAGGGAGAACATGGCTATGGTTTTGCTGAACCGTTTCTCATCTACCCAAGTCTTCGGGATTTAGTCCTGCACTACTCTGAGAACTCCCTCCTTATGCACAATGACCTGCTCCACACAACTCTAAAATATCCAGCTCGCCTAGCCAGCTAGTGTTTGCATCACATTAAGTAGGGTATGAACACCCTGTAGGATATTAAGAGTATAAAAAGCTTAAATATTGTTAATACAATATAACCAAATTAAGACAGAGCTGAAAATATGCTGATCCAATGCCCTAATTAGGGAGGTTGGGTATGGGATTCTGTGAATGCCACAGCAAAGTTGAAACTCGGCAGATAAGAGTGGATCTTTTCTCAGGAAACCAGTGACTGTTGCCAGGAATGACATGGATTGTCTAAGATATGCATTCTGCTGAACAAAAGTGATGGCTTTTCTTTGCAGAAATTGCACAACAGGCTCTGGAATTGGTCAAGTTGCACTTCTGCACATGTTACATCATGGCTGAAGGCCATTTTGTCCCTCCACGGCCGCCACCAGATTTTATTCAGTGCTATACAGTGCAGTCAAACAGATTTAAATTATTATTAAGAAGAATTATGCAATGTCAACTGAATGAATTTTGGTAGCAATGTGGAGTTCCATTTTTTACTCTGTGGTACAAATTAGTTTCAGGACAAGCAAAGGCAAGTTGTTTTAAGTGACATTGATAGGTTGTCATGTCCTGCAGAGTTTAGTATTGAGTGATCAAAGTACGGGTAGTACCCCTATACAAAGAGGCTACCCATGCATATGTTTTCGTAGTGGCCAAAGACATTAATCCATTGCAAATATTTTGCTGTCATTGCTTGATAAAACCCCATAACCTATATTGTTTTAAAAATAGTTGATATTTTAAAGAATATTAACATATATAGGCTACACAGAATCTGTTAATATTTGATACAATGAAATGTGCTGTGAAGAACTGTTTGCCTCTTTGTTTCCAAAGATTGTCAAGATCTCCTATTCAGAAACAGACAAATGTGTTGGACACGCAAACGTGTGTGACGTGAAGTGACAGACCTAAGAGAAGTTGCTGCATTCCAGTTATGACTGAACTGAGGACGTTCTGAAAGACCATATGTGACTCTTGATTCAGGCGTTAAAAAATTTTCATGTGTGATATAATCATTAATAATGGAAAAAAATAAATGAACACGTAAGTGCTCTAGCTAGAGATGATGACTTGGAACAGAGGGGTAGCCAAGTCAACTCTAGTCCCTAGTAACCCTTAGCCACACACTACATAGTCTTTAACTTCATCATAAAAAGTTTCATCTCATTATTATATTTTTAAGGCTAGAGTTTCATACATTATATTGTTTGTATCATTGAAATATACTATGTTGAATTTATTGTACTTATTTTTTATTTTATTTTTTTCTTGTATGTATGTTCAGAAATGTAGATATGAATGCATTTGCATGTTGCTGTATGACTGTGTACAGGTGTGCATGTGTGTATATTTTTTTCTACACCTCATTATATTTATGAACCCTTCCACTAAATAATAAATGTTGATGGGTCAGCCATGGACTAGTAAATATGTGAGCTTTGGTCACTGAAATTTATGAATCTGATCTGCATTAGTGCTAGTCTTCAAAAGATTTTTTTTTTGTTGTACAACAAACTACATAGAGATTGAATTGTCATTATATGAAGCTTTGTATTTCTCACTAAGCAGTGAAAGATGGCTGATTTCTCATATTCACTTAGTCACCTCTCCTCCTCATTACATGCTGAATAACCTGGTGTTGATGATGGCAGATGCCAAATTGATAAGTGGATAAAGTCATTAATGTTGTATGCCATATGTCCGGTGATTTAGGTTATGTTATGTTAATGAGGTGAAGCCAGGTGGCTGCACAATGTGATATTGTGGTGTGTGGCTTTGGGCAGTTGTGTGCCGAGGCAGGTAGTCATGACTTGGCCACACAGCCACTACCCCGACCTGTCGCTTGTCACTTTTCCCTCCCATGCTACGCAGGGAAATAAAGTCTCAATAAAGTGCTCTTTGGTCAGTATTCTTTCCTTTATCACCTGATTAGAAAATACTGGGTATTTTCTTTCCCTCTTGTACACGACTCCATGAGAACAGAAAAAAAATGCCCAAAAATCCCAATTAAAAACAATTCTAGTTGGGTATTAATAAGATAAATTCATGAGAAACAAATTGTTATTTCATATATACATAACATTTGCAAATCCACAGGTAACTTTTACAATCTTGTAAATACACAGGGATGGATGTTCATACATGATTTTGTACTTAACATGTACTCCTTTGCATATTTCTGTATGAATGACATTTTAATTTTCATTACATCACATACTTGGAAAATTAGCACTTCTGAAAATAATCTTAGTCTATAAACATGAATATTTTATTTTCACGTATGTGAAGTTATATGTTTGATACAATCTGTTCTTGAAACACAAAAGTGGGAATCTTCTCAACAGAATTGATATGAAAGCTATGATTGAGATGTCATCAGTAGTACAACTTCACTTGATTTTTTTCTTAATTTACTGATTGTGGAACTAGCATTGAAAAAGAGGCAGAACTGATGTTTCATGACACACCACCACCTCAATGGAGTAAACATCTCAAAGGCAATTTCTAATTTGTAGTATATCCTAAACAAACTATTTTCTTCATCTTAATTTAGTCCTGCAATTACTGTCTTTGACCTTGACATTTAAACATCAATCTTATATGGTCTGCTTTTAAAAATGACTATGCAATGCCATCAAATTGTTGACATTACACTATTATTACATAGGAAGGTAAATTTTCAAGAAACAATCCTATTCAATGTCTAATGAAGACTAGAAGTGAAAGCAATAAAGTTTACTCAGGAGCAAGGGACAAAGCAAAGCATTTACCTAATCTGCCTGAGTTGGTGGAAGATATTTTAGTTGCTGCAATACTGTTCACACATGAATTTGGTGAAAGTTATTTTAAAGTGATTATCCATTCATTAAACACACCTTAATTAAATGTCACATTGTGATTTAAGCTACACATTACATGACCTGATCACTCAAATTTGTTTACCCTAGCCAGCAGAAAGCAAATTTTACATTAGCGGCAGAAAAAATAATGCTACAAACAATTTTCACTATTCTGAGAAATCCAATGCAGTGCTGCAGTAATACTGCCACAGTGCAATATATTTTAAAATGTGAAGAAATATAGAAAAGCATTGGAAAAGAAGAAAAAAGGAAATGAAGTAACACTTTTATATTAAATAATGATAATCGCTTTACTTTCAGCTCTTACAATGCTATTCTGATTTTATAATAACCATGGTACATGATATCTGTCCTACCTTGAGGTGCAATATGGATGTACAATTTACATACTGATGACATCATGAATTTGCATGAATATGATTTCTCACTAAATGCTTCTCAAATAGCCTTCTATGAAAAGATGGCAGTTCAAGAAAGAAAATGTAAAATCATACATTATGATAACAAAACAAATGCCCATAACAAAAAATGGAAAGGGGGAAAAAGAAAAAAAAAATCCACATTAATCCATTAGTGAAGGAGAGGAATCTTTCATGTGCTTTTCCTTTGCTACTAATGGTCGGAATAGACAATTTCTTCTAGCTAGAAAGAAATACAGATTGTGACACATCAACACACAATTTTAACACTCGACATCACTTCCAGAACAAATGATTAGTAATTCATTCATCAGTCAGTCATTGTCAGTAAAAGTTCAATAAAAACAAATCCTCAAGGAATCAAAATCTCAAAGGAAATATTTTTATGATCGAGGAGGAAGTGAAAATGAAGACAAAAAAAGAAAAAAATATATATATATATGAAAAAAAAATTAAAATAATAATAATAATAATAATAATAATAATAATAATAATAATACGACCAAAATGCAAGGCACTAGAGTGTAAGTTTCTTACGATGTTGGCGGCCTAGATCTGTAATCCCTGAAATACTATGATCCTTGAAATATTCAACTTTCAGATTAAATTAAAGCAGGTTGCAAGCATTTCTTTCTTTACTGACTTTCCTTCTGGAGCCATGAACTTCCTGTTCAGCTTACAGTCAACTAATTATATTCCTTAATGATCAAGGTGTGTGATTTCTTTGTAAACAATGATAACATTTAAAGGTGGAACATATAAATAGCTTGCCCAATTTAGTATCGAGCTAGTCTGTATGATCTTACATTTCCTTTTGACTTTTATTTAATGTGATATTCTTAAATAGCACTTTTCAATTTCAATATTTTGTGTTTAGTGACAAAAAGTAATTCCAGCCATCTCGCACATACAAATCCAGTTATATAATAAATAAACTTTTTTTTTCTAAGGATTTACAAAAAAACACTAAAAAATGCACTGCATTAGTTAAAGTGGAATTTGAAACCTCCACCATGGAATCCACCACCAGGGAAGCCTCCATGCTGGAAGTGGAAGTGCTGGAAGGGGTTGAAACCTTGGCCACCTTGGCCCTGCTGCTGCTGCTCTGGGTCAAGAGGATCTTCTCCTTGGTCGAACTTCTTTCTCATTTCTGTTGAAAGGAAGATGCAAGAAAGAAGGAAAAAAAGCATTTAGTATAAACTGGTACAACAATATCCATTTAACAAATCTTTTAATTAATTAATATAAGCACAAGTGTTTACCCTAGGACATAAAATAAATAAACGACACATATGATCTACATAGGTAACTATGACACTATTGTTAAGGCTTCAATACACAGATGTAAAGAGAACCTTTTAATAGCAAAGAACAGTAATAATCAGTTCGTTGCAAAAGAAGGTACAGTATCACCCAAGGAAATTCATATCTCAAGGCAATACATAACAATTACATAACAAAAATAAGTTCAATATTATCCTAGTGTTAGTAGCCATGATAGGAAGAACTTCTATTCAAAATGATTATTTTGAATGTGTAATTAAGGAAAATGGGGTATAAATAAGAATAAATAATTCCACAAGGCTAGATTTGTAGTCAGTTCTCTTTCATTCATACTGTACCTTTTTTAGTAAAATCATAATAAAATGTGAGACTGCAAGATTACCTTCATCGGTCAGCACCTCCTTTGCCGCTGCAATATCAATGAACATCTTTTCTGCCTTCTCCTTCTCTTTTCCTTCGTAGTGGTCTGGATGCCACTTTTGTGCTAATGATCTGTGAAGGAAAAATATTAACAAAGAATTAGGTATTCTATAATGTATAGTAAAAATACGTATATATGCACTCTTCTAAAAGAGAGAGGTTATTTATTCTTTTTAGATTCTACTCTCACCTGAATGTCAATTCTAGGCCATCCTATATGCCTAATAGTAATTTTATTCATCAATTTTCTATAAATAAAAGGTTTCTTACTTAAGACCTTCACATAACAACCTATTTTTCCATGTCATAGCCAACATGTGTTCATCGTTACCTCAGTGCCACCAGGAACATTTAATGTCCACTGTAGGTTTAGTTTGTGAATTGTGTTTACACACAGATGACTCCAAACAGCTCATCCACCAAGGAGCCAATTAGAAGGCCTATGTGATCCCATCTGTTTTATTTTCTGATGCTATCAATATTGATGCTATTATTATTGATATTATGATTTTTTAATACTATTCTCAATACAAATAGCAATATAAATATAAACAATTATTTCCAAAACTCAAAGAACAGGATTAACAAGTGAGATAGGTATGACTAGCAATTGATTTCTTTGTGGCTAAGCATTTGTGGAGCCATTGTGTGTAAAGACAATAAATTAAAATCGCAGTGGACATGGCATGTACAAGCATGCCATCCCCAGTGCCAATGGGTTAATCTGAGAGATGACATCCCAAAAAGAACACCTTTTTAATGGTTCACAATTACACTCAGCACCCACTCATTTACAACATACAATTACTATCACATTAGCTGAAATCTTGCCATAAACATTACACATCACACAAAAAGATGATCTGAATAACAAATAGTTTTTCCCCTTCAGGTTTTGCTGACTGTATTTTCTAAGTTCTTACCATTCTAGCTACAGTATTTTTCGTTTTACTGCAAAACTTGTGAAGAACAATCATTCACTGGCAGCAAATGTGATGTCTGTACTTCTGGGGTGCATGACAGGATATTCAGGGGGTCCATAATAGACATCTCATATTTAGTTATCATTTCATTTACATTTATCAAGCAACTTTACTTTATTTAGGCTTTTACTGAAAAAAGAATATTCAATAATGCCATTAATTCTAATGTTATTTAACACTTAATACATATTTTTAAAGGCCAGCCAAGACAAAAAAATTTAGTAAAAATGAAAAGGTATATGCAGCACATCAGCACATATTAAGCATCAGGGGACACACAATTGGCCAAAGTTTGACAACTGCAGATCTAAAGCTCAATTCACGATAATAAGAAGTACCATTGGAAACTAGGGATCATACAAAATACACAGAAAGGGAAGCATGTGAAGCAATGAGAGAATAGGCAAATAGCACCACAAATTGAAAAGTTGCACAGTGCCTCTTTTAGTCTTCTCTTTACTTTTACTCTTTTTTCCAGGCATACTTAGGGTCAAGGAAGCAAGCAGTGTTTTGGAGATGTTTAAATTCTTTTCTTCTTTATGATCTTTTCAGCTGATTAAGAATACTCATATGTATTATAGGGAGAATGCAAAGACATGGGTGGTGACTTTAAACCATCACATAAGAATTGGACAAGAAATGGATTTTCGGCAAATGGAGACAAGTACACCACAGGCTAGCATACACAAGCTTTTGGATGGCATAAATAATATTACAGGCAGCCAATATGATAGGTACACATTACAATATACCTGTATTCTAAAGTCAGAATCCATTTCCTAGCTCAGCTGAAAGCATATACAAAAAGCACAAAATATGGAGAAAGATGGAACCCAACAAAAACAGTCCTACTTACCTATAAGCCTTTTTGATTTCGTCCTTGCCCGCTGTTCTTTTAACGCCAAGGATTTTATAATAATCTCTTTTACTAGCTTGTTTTTTAAGTTTCTGCACTTTGTCGACACCTTCCTTTGCTCTCTGAAGCCCTTCATCAATATTGAGGGCTTTCTGGTAACTATTTAAAGCTGGAAGTCAAGAGAGAGAGAAATGCATAAGATGTGAAAGATTACTGAAAATATTTTGGAGCCAGATAGTTTCTTAAAAACCTATTTCAAAATGATACCTACCCGCCACAAACTAAAAGTAACAGTCAACACAAGAATTGAGAGAGCTTGAAATCTTATATTGGAATATAACTTAAAAGTATATCAAGCATAAATTGACACACCTTTCCACCAAAACAGAGCAATATATCCAACACAAGGGAATAAAAAGTGTAAATGTAAACATACAATAAAATAGAAATAAACAAATAAAGAAGAAGAAAAAGAAGAAAATCATAAATCAAATACTAAAATAAAATAACAAATATACGAGAAAAAGTAAGAAACCAAATAAAGAAAAGAAAAAAAGAAAAACACACACAAACCTTCATCATATTTCTCCTCCAGCAAGAGGGCTTCCGCCATATCACAGTAAAGTCTCGCCTCCTCCTTAATGTCAATGGCCCTCTGACATGCCTCCACAGCAGCTTCTGAGTCGGTGCGTGACTGGCACTGGCACAGCTTGTCATAGGCAAGGAACCTGACTTCTTCATACTCCTTTTCTTCTCTGAGGATCTGAATCGGGAGAATGCGATGTTATAGATTTGTTTCAAACTAAATTCTCCATGATAACATGATTTATTATAATTGTGATATTAAAGAAAGTAGCTGCAGTAATAAAGAAGAGCAGAAAATCCATTTTTTAATTATCTTTAGTCAGTGATTAGGTATATTTAGTCACAATTATTCAAATTATTCATATTATGTGACCATCTAAAAAATGATCTATGAATTTTTAAAATCATGAATAAGAACTGTAAAATGCTACTCAAATTATGTTCAACTTCATCTCTGAAACTCACAACTATCAATAAATCTCTGCAGAATTTCAGAGAAATGAACACATTGGTAAATGAGGCATACTGGAAAAGCTTGGATTGTTTATTTCTTTATACTCTTCTTTTTCTGCTTCCTCTTCATCCCTTCCTGACGTATTTTTGCATTAAAGGATTTTTTTTTAGCGTTATTCCTCCTTAATTTCACTCCCTTTAACCTCCCCCTCTTCATTTAACTGCAATGTGCAGCTCATTCAAACATCAGTCACAAAACCCTGGCAATAAAGCCAGCAGACACTTACAGCATAAATAACAATATCAACAATTAAATTCCCCAAAACAGATACTAATGATAACTGATAACAATGGTAATAATAATATGCCTAAAACTAATAAAACAACTGAGGAAAACCGAAAAGTAAGATACAAGTAATTACAAGAAAACCCTAATAAAAGAAAACAGAAAAAAATACTCACCTTGCTTGCCGTAGCTGTGCAATCCTCGTACTTTTTCTCATTTGCAAACTCCTGAGCATTAGTGACTAGTTTGTTGACCTTTTTCACTTTCTTGTAGAAAGTGAAGCACTCCTTGTGATCTGGGTCCAACTTCAAGCACTCACGAATTTCACTGGGGAGAAAAGGGAAAAGTTGTTAGTATTTATGCACATTCTTTGTATAACATTGCAGACAGAATGGAAGAAATAAATATACATGTATGAATGGCTGTTAGAACTCCACAATGTGAAGAAGCATAACCTCAGACAAAATATAAAAGCTGTAATATCATTCTGCAGAGTTTATGCTCATAATCTAAGCTAATTGCATTAATAAAGATTTGCTAAAACAAAGAGAAATTGATAGATGTTGAAAACTTGATGCTTGCGACAATAGCACTTGGCTTTTCCACTTGGATGGAAAGACATAATATCTGCTTAATTTAAGCAATGTAAGGGTTTTTTCCTGCTGTGAAAAATAATTCTGCTAATAAGTATTTCACATCTAAGGAACTGGTTCCAGTACCCATATGTTGCATTTATGATTATACAAAACATAATTATGAAATTGTATTCCCACTAACTTTCTGTAGCTTCATAATTTCTTAGCATTAATAGTTAATAAGGCTCTGAGCACTTACTAGGGAGGAGTTTGACAAAAAGTTCATCAAATTTCTTCCATTAAAAGTTTGCACCTATTGTTTTCAGATATAAGTCAATCAATTAATTGGTCCTTTTTTAACCCCTATGATCCAGATGACGCAACCCTTAAGTCATGAAAAAATTTGGCCTAAGGTGCGGCTAACATGAACATGCTGTCATGGGAAAATTTGACTGTGGACCAAGGTGACGCAAAATTGTCGTTATGAGCATTTTGGCTGAAGGTGACTCACCACGAGTACACAAACCTCTTCTTGGAGGGGGAATGGACAGATTTGGTGATTAAGAAGGGGCTTTTGCATTATTTCCATTCATAAATAAGTGTGAAAGGTAATGTCTGTCAGCCATGACTAGAAGAGTGCTAGCTTCAAGGACAATATTTCCATGTTCAGAATCCTAATTCTGCTCGGAAAATAGCAAAAAAGTTATAAATGCTTATACTGTAAAAGACGAAATAACATTGCAATGGGGAGACATGGAGTCTTGTCACTGCACAGGAGTGTTAATTTACTCCTGGCCTACAAGCTACCCACTCGGGTGTCCACTCACATATTTTGGGCCCCATGATGGTGAGCAAAGCATCTGAATCCAATGGGTTAAATCAAAATCACACTATATTATCAGATACATTTACATTTAGGAATATATCTCTATGTTACCTCACCAATATGTCCCCACTGGGAGCATCAGTGTCAAAGCAAATGAAGTCAAATCTATAAAACTCACTAGCAATTTGCTAAGGAATCTCTCCATTCTATAATGTTTCAGTATAGATTTCTGAAAATTTATGCAAAACATATTGAACAACATTTTGACCATGTTTTGGACTGCTTACTCTCAGTCAACTCAAAGCTTGGACTTTCTAAATGTAAAAAACTAAAGAGATGCACATGACATTTGCACATATGTGATATTAGAATGAATTTTTACCCTTTATTGGACCATGAATCTCACTTAACACTTCTGACAACCTGTTTGGGCTAAGAGTGGCATGGTAATTCATTAAATCATATAATTTCCCTGCAGTCTTCAGATGAAGAATATTACCACACCTTGCCTACATTTTCAATTTTATATGCATCTTTATGGATATGCTCACATGCACATGCCTGCATAATGGTCATGGAAGACCTGTCCATGCTGGAGAAGGCTAGAATGCAGCAGGCATGTCTAGCAGAACCAGGGGGGGGTTCTGCAAACCTTGAAAAGCACCTTCTTAATCCATGTGAACCACACTGAAGGATGAAATCTAGGTCGTAGTAGAACACGTAACGTAAGATGTTAAAGAACAATAATAAGCTGATTTGAAGAATTATGCTGGCCAGGTCTTCCATTACAGCAAAAGCAATTAACCCAATGCCGACAGGAAATGTTGCATTCATTTTAGTATTGTTTTGTTAAATGTTCTGTACATAGAAGGCTCTGTCAGTGCTTAGCCACAAAGGAGTCAATTAGTAGATCTTGTGACTTCACCTTTCATTGAAATAGCGGGAAAATGCTTTTTTACTAATGCTATCAATACTGCCACTGTTACTTTTGTTATAAATATCATAATTACTGTATTGTTATTGACATTGAATACTTGAAAATATTATAAAAAAAAACAGGTGAGACAGGTAGTTCTTGTAAATGGCTCATTGGTGACTTAGTCCTTGTGGAGCCATCTATATGTAAAAACAATTACTAAATTAAATACACAGCGGGCATGGCACACACGCACATGCCATCCCCAGCAGCAAGTGGTTAAGACTGAGAACTAGGATCTGCTGCAAGATCTCTCTCCAAATACCCTACTTTGGTTCATTTCTCCCAGACTGATGGTTGCTTTTGCTGATTCCTAATCATCGTTCCCATGAACAGGTGTACAAAGAATCCAATCGCAGTAAGAAAAAAAGAAAAAAAAGAAAAGAAAAGAAAAAGAAAAGGGGGGGAGCTATTTTTCCTATTGCATGTGTCCTAAAATATTTGAGGTCCCTCTTATGAAAAATGGTATGAAACTCAGAAACCACACTAACTGGTAAAAAAAAGAGACATAACAGTAATTATATTAGGTCTAAGCATAGGCAAAACGGCCTATTCACACTGTTCACAGTTTGTTTTTACTTTCATGAAATATTCTTAATTCCATAATTTTATGCATTTTTTTTTTAGTATATACCAACTAGACACAAAGTGCAAAAAAATCAGTAAATTATAGTTAAGAATTAATGATAATGATAAAAACACAAAGTCAATAAAATATTTCAACTTAATATCCTGCCTACTCCAAAAACCAATAATGATAATAATAATAATAATAATAGTAATAGTACATACAAATTATAAAAAAAACTTTCAAATTCAAATTCCTTGCCAATTTACAACCATCCACAATCCTCAACATCATCCACTTATGCTAAATGATAAAAAAGAAAAAAGAAAAAAGGGAAAGAAAGGAAAAAGAAATCAAATTTCCCACCCACTTCCAACATCAAAAGCATCCACAACAATTCACAATCGCCACGAGCCTCATCCAACTCACTTCAGCCCCTGCTCCACGTCTCCCGTCTGATAGTAGAGCGTGGCAAGCTTAAGGAACCCAGAGGTGTTGTCCTGGATGAGCTTGGTGGTGACGCGCAGGTCGGCGATGGCACTTGCGACATCCCCCACAGCCTGGTAGGCCTCCACGCGCAACTCACGGAGGGAAGCGTCCCAGGGGCATCGCTGCGAGGGGATTTAGGGGTGTTTGGGGATGGGGGAATGTGGATAGTTATTCTCATGCAATGTCACTCAATCCAAAGGTTGTGGCTTTTGCTAAGCTTCTATTTATCTGGTGTCTTGTTATGGTGAAGACTTGAACTGATTCATCATGTTATAGATTCATCACTCAAGCCAACTGTTACTCACTATATCATCATCATGTGTTCTGTAATTTCACTCTAATCTAACATTCTGTGCACAGTTGTCTTTATTTCAATAATATGATGAACAATTCTGTCTCAATTTGCCAATTTTAGTTGTTGTTTTATATAGAAAGATAATCACTTTACCAGAAAGTACACTGAGAGTAATGACCTAATTAAGAGGAAAAATGTCAATGCTGTTGTAAAAACCAACAGAGAGAAGTACCTACATCAACTGTGCATATCTACTAACAAGGAACATTAAACATAAGGACAAGTTCCTCACCTCAATGATGTTCTTCAGGAGGAGGATAGCATGCTGATAACGCCCCGTTCTAACACTTGAGTAAGCCTCCAGGATTTCCTTTTTCAGAGGTTCTATCGTTACATATAACTTATTCGCTTCCTCGTGGTTTTGATCTTTCCGTAGCTGAAAGGCAGCCAAAGCTTAAACTCATATCATAATACCTAAACCCATTCTATATTTCACTCAAAGAAGGAGGAGGAAGAGGAAGAGGAAGAGGAAGAGAGGAAGAAGTAGAAGAGGAAGAGAAAGAGGAGGCAGCAGAGGAGGAAAAAGAAGAAAAAGAAGAGGAGGAGGAGGACTTACCACATG